CCCCCTGTAGCTACGTCCCTGACTGGTCAGAGACATGAAATGAAAATAAGATGCATGTGGGGTGGTAGACATAGCAGATAAGAGGAGGGAAGCAAGGTTGAGATGGTATGGACACGTAATAAGAAGAGATGAAGGAGAGCTGGTCAGACATTATGAAATGAAAAGATCAGAAGAAGATGTAAAGTGGTAGATATTGCAGAGAAGGTGAGGAAAGCAAGGTTGAGATGGTGTGGACATGTAATAAGAAGAGATGAAGGAGAGCTGGTCAGACATTATGAAATAAAAAGAACAGAAGAAGATGTAAAGTGGTAGATATTGCAGAGAAGGTGAGAGAAGCAAGGTTGAGATGGTATGGACATGTAATAAGAAGAGATGAAGGAGAGCTGGTCAGAGACATGGAATGAAAATATAAAAAATATGTGGGGTGGTAGACATTGCAGAGAAGGTGAGGGAAATAAATGGTGTGTACACCTAAAAGAGATGAACGAAGGGAAATTGGGAGAAATTGAAGAGACTGAAAAAGTAAAAAGAAAATCTAGAAACTGACGAACAAAAAAGCACAGAATAAGAAAGTAAGAAACTTCATAAAGCCACCTTTACAAAGTAGACGCACCTGCTTCCGAGAGTTTCCGAGTGCGCCCCGAAATTTTACTCTACTTCACCGCGAGTTTTATTATTAACAACAACATTAACAATGTATTCTTGACAGTGGTTTTGACCTGAAGAACCCCGATTTACTTCGCTCATTTACCACAAATAATTTATCAAATAGTCCATAAATGACGGTCGATGTTGGAAGCTGGCTGAAGGCGATGTTTTTGTGGGTCGCGATCGAAAGCCACAATGAATTTTCACTTAATATTCTCAAGTTCTCAAGAGGTATTGTAACATTTAGTCATAATACTTTTGCGTTCTGAGTAGTTACAGTAAAAATATAAATTAAAGTTAAAGTAGCCATATTGCAAGTTTATTAAAGATTGGTACCTTGAAAGTAGATGTATTGGCTGAATATGATACAAAAATTACTCTGCCTGAGGTCAACAGCTCAATGCTATCTATTGAGGTGTAGTGTTTGAAGGTATAAAATATAATTATATAGTATGCATATTATCATGTTCAATACTATCTGCCCTATCATCGCTTTCCTGTTTCGAACTGCCTGCCTTTGAGCTATCCATGCTTTCATTTGTTTTTCTCCGAAACCCTGCGAATGGGTTACTGAGTGTAAGCGAGAATGTTCTAGACATTTTCCTCTTGGTTGCCCGCTTTTTCTTAAACTTAGAAACAGCCTGCACGGTTAGCGTGGCTGTCCGTACCGACGCATGTGCTGTTTGGACGTTACGTAATTTCACAGTCCCAATTTCATTGAATATATCGTCCTCAGTGCCTTCGTGTTCGCTTGGTTTACAATACAGCACACATATGCGATAAACCTGCAGCATTACGACCAGAGCGTTTTTTGCAATCAAAAATACAAACATGTTACTTTCGGTTATATCGTATTTTGAAGCCACGAACAGCCGTAGTATTAGAAACGGGCCATCTTGAAGCACCATTGGGGTTAGCAATTGTATCAGGTCTATGTGGGTATGTATAAAATTCTGTACGGTGCTTTCAAATTGTTTCAGAGTTTTCAGAGCTCTCGATAAAAAACTGCCTTTCTTATCATTGCTGTTGTTTTGTGGTTGATCTGTTTCATTGTGGGTTACAGGTCGAAGGGCATCCAGGTCCATAGTATTTCGTCTTTCCTGCTGTTTTTCAAAAGCTTTCCTTTGCGCGAGTTTGTAAGTGTACAAAGCTGGTGCGACTCGATTTGATTTCTTCTCGGTCGTGATTTTGATTGACGATTCGCCATTCGCTTCTCGATCTTTTTCCATCTTGATTTCTTCATTGGCCTTATCTTGTGCAACACTCTCCGCATTTTGAATCGTGACGGAGAATTGTAGCAGACTTATTGACCAGATTGAAATAAGAAGATTTATCATGCTAGAAGAAATTGAGAGAAATATATATGACGTAGCTCATTAAATAGGGGGCATGTTGTAGTGTTTTTTACCTCTGAGAATGTGGGCGGGTAACTGGGTGGGTTCAGGGCCTGATTAACGTCGCGCGAGGCCCGCGGCAGATTTTAGCGCGAGGCCCCTCAACCCCGTTATGAAAACCTTTGCAATTTAAAGACACACAAAATTGTTAAATAATTGCTTTCAATATTTCAATTGATTGGCATCAATTATAAACAATTGCCTGCCTGGCCCAATTGTTGGGTCAACAAGTATAAACAGGATCATATATAACAGATCAGCGCAACTGGAGATTACATGCATACAAGTATTGTATATTTTCCTGGGGTAAACTGCCAATCCTAGGGGCCCTGCATGTGCGATGTCCCTAATTCGCGAGGCACCTAAAATGGGCGTATCCCAATAGAAAATAGGCGTGTTCTCGTAAAAATGGGCGTGGCACAGTAAAGCGCGAGGCCCGCGGCATATGCCGCATCTGCCACGTGGTTAATACGGCCCTGGGTGGGTTGGGGTTTAAGCCCCATAACTGACCCTTCCACCATAGATGTGCTCTGTGATCAGACATGAGTCGTAAGGTGACTGCCGGAGGCGCCCTCAGAAATCCTTTGGCAAGGTGCATAGAAAAATGGACTTCATGTCTTACCTTGAATTAGACATTACGTCTTGCACTTCATAAATTTCTGTCAGTTCTACAATGTCAGCGGCGGCGGCAATGTAGATGAGCAGTAATTGCGACAGTTGTTCACGTGACATTTGACCTTTGGGCAGTAACCATCGACCAATCACAAGCAAGAGAAGAAATGTTTGGTCCAATGTGGAGACCACTTTCTCATCGTCTGTGAACAGCGTGTTTAAAGCAAGGCTTTCGATCTAAATTGGAAAACGATAGAATTTCCCATGACCAAACCTTTGTCTAGTGGATGACATGAATACTATTTAAAACACGAGCAGGGTGCTTTATCAAATGTAAAACACAAGTGTTGGGGCATGTGCCCCCCCCCCTCACTTTTTTTAAAAGTGTAAAAAGTGCCCTTTTTCTGGGCTAAAGTGCCCCATTTACAGAACGAAAAAAGTATTTCTTGAATAAACACCCTCTTTTGCTGTAAAGAAAAGTGTTATTTTTGCAGTAGTAAAGACTCTATAAAGGCCATTTCCGACGTTATATAGAGACTCCATATTTTCGAAAATTTTCGTTCGGCTCGTGAACAACATAAAATCGTTTGATTTTGATCATATATATAAAAGTGACCCTTTTGGCCAATGCCCCTCCACTCTCGAAATGCTTCCGTGGCCTCTGAAAACGACTCATCAACGTTCTCTAAGCCAAGAAAATCAAAGCTAAAGTTTATATAAATTAACAAGATTTTTTTATCACATATAAAACCACAGACATGGTAGTGACTTCCTTTGTCTTTTCCTCATGGATTATTAATAAGTTTTCTATTTTTCTATATTAAATGCATAAAGCCCTAGAGGTTAAAAAATACAAAAAAGTTTCTGGGGGTAGACCCCCCACACCCCCTACACTTCCCCTCTTCACCAGGTTGTCTCTTTTCCTTCTTGATGATCCCTTGTCCGCCGGGTAAAGACCTAGCTAAAATGATCATGTTTTGTGATTGGCTTTCAGAAACAAATCAGAAACAAAAATGATCATTGCTGTGACTCGTTCTTTAGAAAGACGATTTCTATGGTTTTGTTGTCTTTCATTGTTATAATCAATCAACCACGAGCCTGGATAGTATAGGTAGATGATGACCCCGTCCGTTGACGAATTCTTACGATAAAAGAGACACTGCCATTTTTACCTGGTTGCCTATGTTAGGAGAACATCTTATGCCACCATGACTTGTTCCATTACTCATTCTCAGACAACTGCCCAATTTCAGTCGTAATAGTCCAAAACATGGTATCTCCGCCGTTGTAAAGATGAAAATGCTTGGACAAAACCTGGAAAACGGAAATAAATTATGCATGAAACTGCAGTGTACACAGCCGTAGCGAAGAGGCCAAGGTTGGGGGGGGGGAGGGGTAGTATCGCATTTGCCGACAACATTTTAGTCGCTAATTAATATTTCTTTTCCCAAAATTGTTGAAGATAAACTTTCAAATTATTGTGCCGTATTTGTTACATTTTTCGTTAACATTTTCGTAAATTTATCGAAATTTTTGCTATAACTATTACTTTTTAATCACGGCCACTCAAATATTGTCGCTGACTACGAAAACAATTTGCCGACAAATCCGTTATTTTGCCGACAAGATGTTTTCAGGGGGTGTCACCCCCCTCCCCCCAATAGCGACGGTCCTGTCAGCCAGAGTACATGTTAATCCTGCGGCACCCAGGAATTTGTCCTAGGCCTTAACAGCTTGAACAAGCAAAATAAACTAATACTTAGTTCAAAGTTTCACATACGTAACAATAGGCGAGCCAGATTTAGACGCTTCATGAAACAACGTGTACCAGAATGGTAGCAATGCATAACGATGTCGAATTGCTTCACGCATCAAGTTCTTGTATTTATCTTCAAATAACCACGGTTCACGGCGTTTTGTGTCCAAGTGAGCATGTGCGCGGAAGAATGGAAGATAGGCGCCAGTCTGAAAAGAAACAAATACATGCAGGGTGTCAGAGGCGTAGCCACGGGGGGGGGGGATGGGGGTCCGGGCCCCTACTTTTCTTCACGACCAATTTGGTAATTCTTTCAAAACTGAGGAGAAACTGGGGGGGGGGGGCGTGACCTCCTAATGTTTTCAGCTATGACATAAAATATACCACATCTGTGGCTTTTCAGATGATCATAAAATGTGTCTAAAATGCACGAATTAGCGTTTCGCAAACACTAACATTTTCTGGGGGACCATGACCCTGGCCGGCCGATTAGAAACCCCCCACCAGTTGTGCAAAAACCTGGAGTGCTTATTTCAAATAAAAGTTTAATTTCGGAAATGTTTATGTAAATGAAATAGACCTCATCAGCAAACGCATGTTTTTTCCCGTTGCTACTCGATCAGTTTTCTGATAGTCCACCGACTCCTTCCTTTACAGTACAGTATATCTGCATGAATACATTGGCTGTCGCAGTGCGATATAAACACGCGGTAGCTGATCATAAAATGAAGCAAATATAACCAAATGTATGCAAGTGAGATTACCTGATACCATCGAACAAGAAGTTCGGCATCTGGATTGTTGAAAAATCCACCAACATCGGCTGAAAAGAAATTTCAAACTATAACTAAAATTCCTTTTTAAAATGTTCTGGGACTAACCCTACTAACGAAATTTTAACTACTATTTTGTAGTTAACTCAATTAATACAAGCACGTGTACAAACAAAGACCCCTCTATTACCCACCTCCACTGAACTGCAGTCCGGTGATTCCCAGCGTTAAAATCATTGGTAAAGACATTTTTAAATGCGACCATTCAGCTATATTATCGCCAGTCCATATGGCTCCTGCGAAGGAAAATGAAACATGCAGAAGAGTGGTCAGGGTTTTCTTCAAGTAAGTTATTAACAGACAAATTTGACTAACGTTTGTTTATACACAGCCCTTGAAAAAAGTTAAAACTGAGGTCGGCAAAGCAATGCCGACCTAAATCTGCCCCAGGTTCCGACCTCTCGGTATTTATTAGATCGGATACTTTCTCCCCATTGTAATTTCGAAGCAGCGGCAACCACCAGTAACACAATCCAAATTTCGTGTTTCCCCCGACCGTATTTTTAATATTCCCGCGGCTGTTTTCTATTAGAATAAACAATTCCCATTATAGACTCATTTTTTATCATAGCAAAAAAAGTATATTCTCGGAAAGAGCATACTAAAATTTGTAAAATTGCAAAGTTTGGTTGCGAAATGTTGTAAAATGTGGAAAACATAGCCTTGCAAAGTTCACAAATTTTGTATACTTAATATTTCTTTTCCCAAAATTGTTGGTCACTAACCCCCACAATAACGTACAGTACCGTAATTTCTTGAATTTTCTAGTAATTTTCGTAAATTTATCAAAATTTTTGCTATAACTATTACTTTTTAATCCGAGCCACTCGAATATTTTCCCTGACTACAAAAACAACTTGCCGATAAATCAGTTATACTACTATTAATCAGTTATACTATTAATCAGTTATACTATTAATCAGTTATATACTAAATTAGTTATACTACCATCGATACTATTTCCGCACACAATATATAAATACTGTGTGCGGAAATTGCTAAAATGACAGCAATTTCCGCACTGACAAGCTTCGCAGTTTCCCTGACTGTACTAGGGAAGAATTACAAGCTGCGAACAAAGTACCGTCTGGTGTCGCAGTTGTAAGACCTGGTAAGGAATAACGAACTAACATGATGCCATTTTGAACTGCTATCTAAAAAATCCACACTCAAAATTTCCATCTACAAAACCCTCCCACAATTAAATCCTTGCTATAATGAGAATAACAACCGACCAACCTACCGTATCTCTGTGTGCCTGCAAAGAAAGCTCTCGACAAAACAAACGGCCTCTCCTTATCGCTAGATCTTCGTTTCAAGCCATTGTATGTTGACATTTGATTGTAAAAACCGTAAAGGTTATGAACATCGCGGTTCTCCCAGCCACCATAATGCATGGCATCTTTATGCATGGTGATCTCAGGACCATTGAACACAGACATCTGCCAGTTGTAAAAAAATAATGATGGTTGAAAGTAGTTGACAGTAACTGCAGACACACCAAATTAAATACATTTGTGATGATGTTACTAGTTATAGATCGTGATGGTAATGGTGGTTATGATGATAATAATAACGGTAGTCAATTTAGTTATGATGGTGATTTTATGATTATTATGATGGTGATTATGATGA